CCGAAGCCCACACAGGCTCACCTGAGTCCCCCCCCACACCCCGCCAAGCCCATACAGGCTCACCAGGGCCACTCCCCCTAGCCCACACATTCTCACCTGAGAATCACCAACACCAGCATCAGCAGCACACAGGAAGGGTGGCCCACAGGCCCTCATCTGCCTGAGCCCAACCTCCACCTCGGGCCATAAACACCCTTTGGCCACCTGACACGCCCTGCTCCAAAAGTCTCCAAACTTCCCAAGGCCCAGAAACCCTCAGAGACAGAGAGCACACCTGGCCCCCCCATCCAGGGCAGGTAGTTCCCAGGGCAAAGCCGTTACCTCAGAAGGGGAGGATGGGGACAGGGACCACCAGGCATCACAGCTCCTCCCCAGCCTCCTGCCCGACAGGGCCACAGGCACATCCAGGACCAGCACTGACCAGATGTTCCCTCGACCAATCTTCACCCGGCCTGAGGCAGGACGGGAGGCACCAGCGTCTACACCAGATCCACCAGGGGTTCAGAAATGAGATAACCAAGGCCCAGCTCTGAGCCGCCCGTCTGTCCTCCTCTCACACCTGACCACGACAGCATATTTACAATGTCTTCTCAGTCGTTGAAAAATATTTCTAAGATGACATGAGAGCAAATTGATATTCCAGTGGTACAAGGAAGTCACCTAGCTGTAAGACTGTTATGGTAAGATGCGAAGTAGAATTCAGCATGGGGAAGGAAACGGCGTTCCACACCGTGAGACTGACACTCACAGTACCCTGCACCTACACTTCCACAGCCAGAGACCCTGACACTCACAGCACCCTGCACCCACCCTTCCACGGCCAGACACTCTGAGACTCACAGCACCCTGCACCCGCCCTTCCACAGCCAGAGACTCTGAGACACTCAGAGCACCCTGCACCCGCCCTTCCACGGCCAGAGACTCTGACACTCACAGCACCCTGCACCCACCCTTCCACGGCCAGATACTCTGAGACTCACAGCACCCTGCACCCGCCCTTCCACGGCCAGAGACTCTGAGACACTCAGAGCACCCTGCACCTGCCCTTCCACGGCCAGAGACTCTGACACTCACA